TGAGAGAGCAACATGGAAAAACCTGGCGCTTCTCGTGCTTCTCTCCCAAGTGGCTTCAGCTCCCGAGGCTGAGGCTCAGCGCCCTCTGTCCGGGCCTCTGTGGCTGTTTGTCTCTCCCCAGAACTGGTTCCGCACTTCGGCAGACTCGCCTCCCAAACACAGGAGCCAGGGATCACTGGTACCCAGGAAGGAGAAGAGTCTGGCAGGCGGGAAGAAGCGGGGCCGCAGGCCCAAGGAGCGGCTCCCTGAGGAGCCTGCACCCAAGATGGCCCCCCACCAGGAGGACTGGCCCCCAGGAGGCAGAGACAAGGGGGCCCAGGACTCCACTGGCCGGAAGGTGGGAGCCAGCAATTCACCCGAGAAGTGAGCATGGTGGCTGGCAGGGCCTGCCCCCACGCTGGCCAAGCCCTCCTCTGTCCAGAGTGGGGTAGCTAGCTCTGGGATACCCTGCCCTCCAGTTCCCCACCCCCATCCCTGCCTACCCCTTTGTCCAGTGGGGCAGCCAGCCCTGCTCTGCTCCTTGAAGGTGGCCCTTCCCCTTGCAGGTTGCTGCAGGCACACCTGGGCTGGGGCTCCCTGAGAAGGGCCAGTGGCAGTCACAGAAGTGCAGTCGCCTGGAGGGACATTCACAGGCCTGGCAGAGCCTGGAGGGGTAGAGGGAGGGTCTGCAGCCTGGGCCTCGGTGCCATGGGGGTGGTGCAGAGTGGCCAGATGCCTTTTGGCCCCAGCCATGAGCGCTGCGTGCCCCACCTGCTTCCTCAGGCCCAAGGCTCGGGGGTCCCTGCTTCTGGGCTGATGAAGGTACCTCAGCAGCCTCGCCTCTCTACCCAACACTGGAACCCCAGCACCCCCAGCTACCTCCCTGGACAGACCCTGAGTCTGATCGCTGCCGTGCTGACCTGGTGGTCCGTCCCCTTCACCCTTCCCGCCTCTGGTTCCTCAGCTTCTGTTCTCTACCTCTCCAGGCCCACCCTCCCTGCCGGTGTGACCCCTGCTGTGCTTGGGCCCCGACCCACTGGCTTGTGTCCATCCTGGTGGGGAGAAAGTGGCCCCGCCAACGGGCTCTCTGCCACCCCCAGCGGTACTCCCTGCTTGGGGCAAGGGAGGGCCTCTGGTTTTCCGCTTGCAGGGCAGCAGGAGCTGGGGCCACGAGGAGCACGCTCTAGCTTGGCCGTCACTGTGGGCCTGGCTGGGATAGCCTGATAGGTTAGGGATAGCCCAGTCTGGGCCCTGGGGCCATGGGCATGTCGGGGAGGGAACTGAGCCCAGCTCTGCGGATTGAGCACTGCAGGAAGCAGCCTGTCTGCTGGTCTGGCCTGGCCTGTGGCCAGGCTCCTGTGGGAACACCCCACCCTTTGTTTTTACCTGCCCCTTTGTTTCTGGTTGCGTGGTCTTTTGATGTGAGAGCTGAAGGCCAGGGAGGGGCTCGCTGAGGTCACAGTAGGTTGATGGGAGCTCGGGCTGCCTTGGCTCCCTTTGGGACCTTGAGGACAGCTAGGCCTGCAGGTTGGGCAGGGTTCAGGCTGGAGTCCAGGGCACCTGGAGGAGTGGGTCCACACCTCTGGCCTCCTCCCTGGGCCCCGCCTTCCAGCTGTGGCGTTGCCTGGGGAGGAGGACACTCGGAGTCACTGGGTTTGGATGGAGGCTATTTTCCATAGCGGGTGGGGGTGGGCTGAGGGCTCGGCCTTGCCGATCCTGGACGATGTGAATTTTGATACTTTCCTGTGTGCTTGTTTCTCCTGGGTGTGTAGTGGATGCCAGTCTTGTGGCTGTGACAAGTAACAACCTTTTTTTATTCTGTTTTTTATACAAAAACTTACAACAATCTGACATTTTGGTGCTAAGGGTCTCCTGGTGCCAATGGTGGATCTGGGGACTGGGCTAGGGTTCCTGGGGTCCCTCCTCTGCTCAGGGAGGCAGTACTGACTGGGCACCCTTCTGCCTCAAGCTGCCATCCTCACCCACCCCTGGAGAGGAGGGGCTCCAAGCTGGTCTGGGCTCTCCTCGCCCTGCAGTAGGGGGACAAATTCCCAGGGGCTGGGGGCCAGGTCACTGTGCTGCCTGTCTCTGGCTTCTTTGTCCAGAGCTCTGACCCTGGGCAGCCTGGCCTGGTGGTGTAGGGAGGGGATGTAGAGATGTGGATTCTTCCTACCCGCATACATGGCACATGGGAGTGACCCAGTGTCAGTCAAGGTGGGCACAGGGGCTGGGCTCTGGGTGTCACTGTGGTGTGGAGCCGGTGGAGGTGGGTCAGGCAGCCACTGCAGGGGCAGCCTCAGGAGGGGAGGGGAAGCAGGCGCTGACAGGAGCCCCAGGTACACTTTCTTTGCCCTTGTCACCAATGGCTGGAGGAGGTTGGACCTCAGCACCTCTACTGGGGACAGCCGCCTGCCCCAGCCTCTCAGGTACTTGGTCCTTGGGGTGTGAGGGGCTGGTTTTTGCTGGGGGGTGTTTCCAGGTCACCCTCCAAAGTCCACAGATGGCCCCTGGAGTGGGACCCCCGCCCAGATGTGTGGGAAGAGGTGGGGTCTTGGATAACTTGATGTTTAGCACTTTAACCCCTTTTTTGTCTCTAAAGGGTGTGGGGGCTGCTGCCAAAGCGGCGGGTGGGTTGGACGCAGCTCCCTACACCCCAGTTCTGGTGGTTGAGTGCAGGGCAGAGCCCTGGGGGCTCAGCAAGATCTGCCCACCTCCACTCTGGCAGGAACACGGCCAGGTAACCTGGCCTTGGCTGACACCTTCTGCGAGAGGGTCCAGAGTGGCAGACTCCAGGGTGCAGTAGGCACGGACTATGCCCGAGACCCAGCCCAGGGCACAATGCCGGGTCCCTTTCTGAAGATCTACCTCTGGCCCTGCCCACCCTTTTGCCCTGAGAACAGGAAAGGGCTGACACTTCACACAAAAATAGGATGCACTTTATTTGCTTGTGCAAAGGCAGATGGATGAGGGTGTCTCCTGATGTGACTGGTGGCCCTCAGCTGTAGCCTGCTCCCCGCCCCCCTGTTCCTCTGGTTCAGAAGGGAAAGGACCGGTGCACCCTGACCTGCGGGCGGCAGGTGTCCCCGCGAGTCCTCGCTCTGCGTCCTCAGGAGGCTAGTCCTGGAACTGAGGTTCAAGGGGGCCGGCCAGTTCTTCCCGCCTGGCGGACACGCGTCCGTCCTTTGGGTTTCTTGGTTTGTTTTTTTTAATGCCAGTTCTCCGTACATAAGTGCATTTTGGAAGAGAGGTTCCAACTATCCCTTGTAACCATATATATACACATATATTCTATCTACAAAGTGTTTATTTGCAAGATGTTTTGACGGCGGCGAGCTCGGGCCCTGCTCACCTCGTGACCGTCTGTCCCGGTCCTCGTCCCCGCCCCCAGGCCCTGAGTGGCACGGGCGGGCCATCAACTGTATGTATTAAAAATGACTGTATCAAATAAATGTCTATTGATGGTTTTCCAGGGGCTGTGTGGGCTGAATTTGTGGCAACATACGAGGTGGGGTCCTTTCCCGGCTGACGATGCCCAATGCGGGGGGGGAGGGGGGGGGAATACCCAGCCGCATAGCCTTGTGGGATTTGTAGTCCGCGGGACGCGCCCGCAGGCTCCCAACTGCGGCTCCAGCAGCCCACCCCGCCCATTCGTCAGCGCTGAGGCCTGGAGCTCCATGGCGGCGCCCCCGGC